GGGGGGGGGGGGGGGGGAGCAATGGGTGCAGGGCGTCGCCCGAGCACCACACACACCTGCCTCCCCCCCCTCGATCTACCCGTGGGTTCCCTTCCGAGTGCAATGGCGGAGGCATGTACGGCGCCGTGCCCCGCCTACCTCTCCTCTCACCCCCGCTGTGAGGAAGACCATCACCACCTTGGCCACCCTCTCCACCCCCTCGATGCCCCACCCCCACCCACGCAGGCTGCTGCGGGCGCACACTGCTCCTGCGCCGCACCCCCAGATCTCCGAGGACCTGGTGGCGGCCATGGCCTCCATGGTCCAGAAGGAGCTGCCCCTGGTGCAGTGCGCCACGCCGGAGCTGCGCCAGACGCCGCCCTCCGCACACCCCCCCACGCTGCCCTCCGGTGCGGCCGCCGCCTGGGCGCGCCACCGCCGCCAGCCGTCGTTCGAGGGCGAGCTGCGCGCCGCGCACGCCGAGGCCGTGCACGCGCACGCGCAGATGGCGGCGCTGGCCTCCGCGCTGCGCCGGGAGCAGAAGCAGAGCGCGGCGCTGCGCCAGCAGCTGGCCGCGCTGCGCGCCGAACGCCGGCGCAGCGCGACCCTGGCCCCGCCCGCCGGCCCGGAACCCGAGGAGGCAGAGGAGCAGCCGGGGACGGCACGGCGCCTGTCGCCGCCCTCCCCCGTCCCCCACTGGTCTCGGCCTTTGCGAGCAATGCCGGGCGGGACTGGGAGGCTGCGTCCTGAGGGGGACCTGTCTCTAGAGCCAGCCCTCCGTGCAGTCCAGTCACTTGCTCGCCATCACACTCCACCGGCCCCCACTCGCCTCACAGGCCCACGCACAGCCCTGCTTTCCAGCTATGACACCGCGACTTTGAGACGCGCGGGACATGGGTGTCCCGCGCAGCAGCCGCGCCCTCACCCTCATCATGCCCAGATAGCCCCCTTCACACCCACCACCGAGCGACCGCCATATTTTTGGGATACCGCCCCATCCCCACTCCTTCCGTTGATATCGTCGTCAGGCTGTTATTCGTACTGTGTATTTCATGTGCCCTCCAAATAACTCGTGTAGCGCCAGTCCCCTCTGTACAGTCTTCGATCCCCTGCCGGACAGGGATTTATCGGGGTTGGGGTTGAGCTGCGGGGGGGGGTGGCGGCGAGCAGGGGGCCCAGGAGTGAGTAGGGGTGGGAGCTCCGCTGCCACACCCCATCCCCCGGTCACGATCCAACGGGGACACCCCGCGCTTTCCTCCGCACCAAAATTCGGAATGGCCATGTCCCTTCCGCAAGATGCACGGGGAGCATGCCTGCATCCAGGCCACATCCTGCCTGCACGATCTGATCCCCGGATCGCACACCTTGTCCGCCACCCTCTGAGCGCGCGACCCTGGAGCGCTCGTCCCGGCAGGCCTGTGGGCAGGTGGGCTGTGGCTTGGTCGCCCCCTGACCCCGATGCCCCGCGCCCGGACTGTGTAGCGAGCCACCACCTGCTGTGAGGGCGAAGGCATGCTACGGAGTGTGCTGGGCACCCCTAGATCCGAGTCGGACGGCAACCTGCTCCAGCTGGCGGAGAAGAGCAATGGGGAGGAGAGCGGGGGGGACGAAGGCCCCCTCGCCGTCGCTCCCGGGGCAAGGCGCACGGCAGACTCATCTGTGGTGGATGATGACGGGGAAGAGCCCCCCCGGGCCCTGCCCACCGGCGCCGAGGCGGTAATCACCCAGGTGAACACCCGACAGGGAGCCCCTACCGGGCCTGCCCTGGGCCAGATGGTCACCCTTCCGTCGACATCAGAGGACACCTCGGACCTGCGGGCCTCCTGGAGGAACAAAGTCAGGTGTGCCGGGGTTGCAAGTGCCTCCCTTGTGGAAGGGACTCCCCGGGGATTGGTGGTTGTTGGGCGTGGCAGGGTCCCTCTGGCTGGATTTGCATCCCTCTTGATGTATTTGAGGACTCCTGTGGACATGCCGGGTGTGTGTAGGCTGCGTCCCACTGCCTGCGTCTTCTGGATCGGCGCCCTGCCTTCCTCATCGGCGCAAGGCCTGAAATGGGGGCAGTCCATGGGACCGCAGGTGGAGGCCCCAGCCCATGCTTCGACCACCCGACTCCCCCTCACACCCCCTCACCTCTCCACCCCCTCATCTCCCTCCGGCCCCTCCCAACCCCTTTCCCCCTCCCATGATTCTACCCAGGAACATCTTCTGCTGCCTGGTCCCAGGGCCCGGCGACCAGTATACGCGGCAGGAGGAGGGCCCCGTGGTCATCCGCCCCGTGGCCCCCCCACCCCCCTCCTGGGCCGACCCGGTCATCGGCCCGCCCTCCCCCGCCGACATCGGCAAGAAGTGCCTGGTGCTGGACCTGGACGAGACGCTGGTGCACTCCTCCTTCCGCCCCGTGGCCTCCCCCGACTACATCATCCCCGTGGAGATCGAGGGGCGGGTGGTGGACGTGTACGTGCTCAAGCGCCCCCACGTCGACGCCTTCCTGGCCGCCGTGGGGGACCGCTTCGAGGTGGTGGTGTTCACCGCCAGCCTGGGCAAGTACGCCGACCCGCTGCTGGACCTGCTGGACCCGGCGGGGGTGGTGCGGTGGCGCCTCTTCCGCGAGGCGTGCTACCCCTATGAAGGCTCCTACGTCAAGGACCTGCAGTGCATGGGGCGGCCCATGGAGAGCCTGATCATCGTGGACAACTCCCCCCACTCCTACGTGTTCCAGCCCGAGAACGCGCTGCCCATCGGCACCTTCATCGACGACCCAGAAGATCAGGCGAGCGGGAGGTATAGTTTTCATTGAGGGGGTCCC